AGTACAAGTATTAATAAATGTGAGTTTGTTGTGATGTTCTCACTGATAAGGCTCGTAGGAAGCATTTTCAGATGGGAGGGGGTGTGGGACACAACCAAACATTTTCAGTTAAGGGGGGAGCTACCCAAGTATCCTTGTCAAGCAAAAAAAAAAAAAAAAACGTCATCAGACATTATTGAGAAGGCACAAGCATATAATAGCTATGTTTTATAGAGTATTCTATATATCGGCAAAAATATAGGGTCCGGGCAACCCCCCCCCCCCCCCCCCCGGTTCCTATGACCATGCGGATAGCCTGCACAATAGTAGAAAAATAAACTTTTTATGTCTAAAGAATTCTGCATTATTAGAAATTATTGGAATGTGTATTATCATCTGTTTGCTTTGTTTGAAAGTGTGAAAATTGTAATTTGATTTAAATTTTATATAATTATGAGAATGTTTCTATAAAACTCTTTTTAATGTACATTTGTGTACCCCAATAAATTCCCTTTTGAAAATTTCTAGTAACTTTATAATTTAGCTGCATCAGTGTTAAAACGACACATTGAAGAGTTGTGCAAAAAAAAAGGGGAAAAAACAATATGACCATAAAAAAATTCTTGCAGAATAGCCTTTTTAATACGGCGAAATCTATCAATACAATCCTCATCACCATAAAACATTTCTGCAACATCAAAACAGTTCAAAATATCAAAATATTCTACCAAAAATCCAAGGAAACGATATCAAGCTTGGTTTAAACCACCCCTACACCAGGTTCAGAATTTACCGTAATTCTGAGCTGTACTCAGCCAAGCCTTACTTGTGTGCAACGAGTAAACTCGGATTTAAACCCGGAATCATTGATCGAAGGTTTAAATCCGAGGTACGCAACTGGTCATTATTCTTGAGATCAGTGATCAAATATCCTCTATTATCTTTATAAATTTGATTTGTTGATTCAAATTTTTATATATTATGCTGAGACAGTACATATATAGTGTTATTAATTTCTTTTTCACTTAAAAGGGAAAAAATCTTGTTCATTCAAATATTTATTTGGCCTTGCTTTATGAGTTTATCCATTTAGAACATCTTTTCTAAAGCATTTTTGAAAGCTCAAATTGCAATTGTATTATGAAATTTATATATATCAAACGTATGTTAAAATTTCATTTCTATCCATTTGAAATGTAATGGCTTTTTATCTGAATTGTTGATTAATTCATTAATAAAAAATCTCATCTTTATTTTTTATATATTGTCCATTTTATTTCTTCAAGTAGAGACACACTATCCACAAGGGTGTAAAATATAATAAAAGAACCATTTGAATCAATGGCTAATATGTTTATAATCTCTCTTATTCGGCCTTGACTGCATTTATCAAAATGTAGAATCTTTATTAATGCCTTTGTGCAGTAAAGTCTATGGCGATTTACAGAAATTTTATTATAACTTTTATTATATGCCTTTTTATGCCGGCATATAAGCTTAGCTAAAATCTATTATCTCCTTGAGAGAAATTTGACGAGGTTACCTAGAAATCATGAATATATATTTATTGGTAAACTGTCGCCATAAATTGAGTCGCAGAACATGAGAGGGGATAGATGGCACTTGGTGTTTTATATTAGGCTTTGCTATAAATTTTGTGGCGTCACCGGTTTCGAGCATATTTGAGCAAAACAATTTGATTAATGGGAATATTTGATCTACTATGTTTTTATCTCAAAAGAAAAGCTTTTGAAGCAAAATGAGATTAGGTGGACTTTTTTTTTAGTGTCTAATGAAATTTGAACAGAGAAGCACTGAAATATCGGAATGACTTCTTTTGTGGTGTTGGTATATTAGTAGTAATTAATTTTGATAGTGATTTTTTTTTTTCAGGACCCCTTCGTTCATTGATTCAATTAATTCATATGTTGTATAGAGGGGAAAGAGGGAAAAACCCTTGAAGTAATAAATTAAAGCTGAAACAAATGGTAAATAAAAATTTGTATGAAAAAATTTGTATGAAATTAGAGGGAACAGAATTGGCATGCACTGAGGTACAATTAATTGGTTCCACAGAAACAATAGTTATTAATTCACATCTGCTTATCATGTTTGGATGCCTGGAATTTGGGTGTTGTACAGATTACTGGGTCCTTGTATGATAACAATATATGGAACACTCAACTTAGCACCACTTGTTACAATAAAACTCTTCAACGGAAAGGAAAGTTGTTTGTTTTCATTCTAACTCGGGAGATCTTTTATGTCAGTCAAATTAGCCAAAGATAACAGTGTCATTATTATTTTGGTATGCAGACTTTCTGGGTGATGGTGACATTTATGGACTCAAGCCAAATCTATAGGAAGAAAGTCATCAGTAAACCATTAAATCAATTAACACTCCATGATTAATTAGACTTAAAATTTTTCAGGAGAGGAACAGATTTAGATCCCAGATGGCTATCACAGCAAGGGTCCATGTTTCAAACACCAATGTGTTTCGCACCTTTAAGTGACATTTACAGCTCACACAGGTAACTTTTTAGTTTTGTCTGCTTTTGATCCTTAAATGAGCATTTTTAACATTGTTACATCTTTGTTTGCAGGTGACAGAGTGATTGTTTGTTGTTATGGACAATTGTGACCTTTCTCCTTTCTGTTTGACATCCTAAGGTAATATCATTTTCATGGTTGCATGTTTTCTGAAATGGTATGTGGTCAAGTATGATTGGGTGCATACATTTGTTATGTCTTCTCTTCAATTTTTGTTCATTATGGTGTTCTGAAAATCTGTTGATAAATTGAAGAAATATCATAGTGACAGATTTGAAAACAAGGAATTATAAATCCATATTATATATTTTAATTAGTGTAAAATTATTCCAATATGAATGAATTAATTTATTCTATAGGTCCATTTTTTTCCTTTTAAGTGAGTCATTATTTTAAAGAAAATCATCACCACATGCAGCCTGCCCCTTGGTCAGTCTCCTTCATTGATTAATTCTGAGTATAATTACTCCTCACAGGCCAGAGTAAATTCCATTGATGAGTCCATCTTGTATCCCAGCATGTTTATCCACCAACCATAGCTGCATGTGCAGTACTGATAGGAAGTTATCTTTCTATTTATGATGTGATATGTTGCTATTTGAGAGGTAAAAAAGTTTTTTTGTATAAATTTTAATCTGTGCTAAGGGAACTGTTTTGGTCTGCCATCTAAAATTACTCCTAACCTAAATTTCTGGAAAGTTTTGTTCATGCATGCACATGGTCCAACATAACAAAAAAATTATGGTGTCAGTTTCCAAAGAAGTGTTAAACTGTACCTTAGGTTATGCCCATTTTTTGAACATTTTTCTTTAGGTAAATTAAAGTAAACAGGATATCTCTTGTGGATGGGTGTTGCCAGGATATCAGAATCTGGAGTTCTGTGTTATCAGTGTGTATTCCTTTCTTATCTGTAACAATTCCTTTATGTTCATCTGTCATTTTGACAGAGACGTGCTTAGGCTTTTGTTTTTCTATTTCTGTTGATGTTTTAATTTTTCATTCAGGTTCACTAGGCCTTTGTTTGGAGGTAAAGCATTAGTACTTCAAAAAAGAATCGAATTGGATCCCACTAGGTGCCCATTAAAGCAATGTGGCGCTCTGGTTTCCTTTGAGGAAGGAGCCCGGTCCATTTGTTTGAACCCAGGTATGTCAGAAACTAAAATTCCGTGAGAGTAGTATGAAAGGTGGGAAAGTTTTCTCCCATCACCACCTTTGTTTTTAGTCCAAGTGTGATGTTTTCTTACTGTCAACAAGAAGCTCTCGAATTGTACATAATTTCATAATTTTTGGGCCAGGTAATTATATAAGCAATTTTGGATACATTTTAATGAACTTATTTATAACCTTCCTCAAAACTATAATAATATTTTCAAAAAGGGAAGTGTAATTTTTTTTCATTTCAGAGACATTAACGTACGTGTTAAAGTTCATTAGCTGTATGTTGTGATCAAAATTATGTTAACTCAGCAATATATGAATTATGCCTTTGTTGACAGAAAGAAATGTACTTTTTAAGTTTCTTTGATAGATCTTTGATCTTTTATGCCTTTCTTAATTAAAAGAAAAAAAATCTAGAATAAGACAGCAAAAAACATATTTTTTCTATTAAATGAGTTCATGTGCCATATTGTAAAAGTAATAATATTGATAATGCTCTCTAGTTTACTGAACAGAATGTAAGAATATAACCCTAGTTATTATGAGTTCTAGAACTTGGAACAGAACATGTCTTATCTTAGATGTCAATTTGTTTTTCTGGGGGGACACTTTAACGAATAATGTGCCCTTTCATCAGGGGTCTCGAAAATTCAGTAATAGTCATCCATTTTCTTTCTAGGTATCCAAACAAATTACAAGCCTATACATCACCAGGAGATGTGTTTTACGACTGACAGTGAAATGTACGCTTGATTGACGGCTTAATCATAGTGGTGCTGAGATACCTGGAAGTTTTCTACCGGGCCGTACCTGTGCCATCAGGGCCGTACCTGTGCCATCGCTTTATTATTGGGAAGTTTGATAAACGTGTTTGGAGAAGTTTTTCTTCATCCAATAATTGTGTATGGACCAAGTTTTCTTAACATGCAGTTTTCGTCAGAGGTGAGTTTGTGACAGTGTTTTTTCATGGCTCCTGTGTTGAGCAAAAATGTGCTGCTATAATTTGTTTTGCTAGGGGACTTGTTTTTCATATTTATTTTTTCTGTATGGTGCAAAGTTGCATGATGTCCCTGGTGTTTCAAAGACTCCATCTTGAATGCAATTACCACCATCTTTCCATTTCTGGATAACACATTATTGCTTGAATTTTATTCAATGGAGGTGATGATTACTTAGAATTTAACCTCCTTCATTTTCTATGCAAACTGTGTAATCAAATGAAAATAAGTTTTACAGCTGAACATATAATTATCGCACTAGAGAGCACCTGCCTAAATATAACGTGCAGCAATATTGCATCTCCCGGATTAAGCAGTTTTGTCAAAATCATGCTTTGCAAGAATGATAGGGACACATGAGCTGTGAGTTAAAGGGGCCGGCATGCCAGGTATTTGAGTCTTATGTTGGTACAACACGTAGATTACCGAGATACACCTGTATAATTTACTCTGTAGACATTGGTCGAAATGCAGGTAAAATTACCTGGCATTGCGTATGCCATGTTTGTGCAAATCTTAGGATAACAAAGAGAACTTTCTTTATTCAAACAAACCACTGTTAGAGTGATTTGATTAGGTGAGTCCTTGGCGTGCGTATCCACACTATATTGTTCTGATTAATGCGGCATTGGCTCAACCTAAGAATGCATAGATTTGCGGTTTGTATTTTTTGTACTTCTGTATATTTTGTTTATCTTGCAGTTCTATTTCTTAAAATTGAAAAACTTGTTTTATTATTTTGCAGCTGTTAACTCTGACTAGCATAGTGTGTTGTTCAGTTTTCTACTCATTGTGATACATTGTAATTAGATCATGTACATATGGTTTATATGATGTTTGAATGCCCATTCAGATATCCTGTTTTACCAGGAATTACATATAGTACTTTTACTCTACATCGCAATGTTTCAGATCTTTGTGACATAACTAAATAACAGGGTACTCCATATTTTTAAAAGGTTTTAAACTTTTTAGCTTTCAAACCAATTTAGAATTTCATAGAGGCTAGATTTTATGTGATTTAATGATTTTTCAGACAAGGACAACTTACACATCTCTTACTTTTTTCCCACAAAAGCAAAATGTAATGATACGTCATGTAGTGCATTGTCACAATTAAACACATTTCAACAGCCGCTGGAATTTTAAATGAATGTAATTATTTCAAGTAATGATTTTGCCATCTTCAAAATAACAGCAATTTTCTTAATTGACTTAAGAGTTGAGGCAATGAAGCAAAAAGTAATTTCTGTGTCTAATGACTGGAGAGTTTTGGCAGGTTTTTTTTAACACTACAAGTAAAGATCAAGTGCCTCTCACAGAATACACCTAGTGTTGTAGAACCTGTAACATATCTAAACTGGTTTGAAATTCTCAATTATATCTTTTTTGACTGATTGTGATTCTTTTTTTTTTTTTACCAATTTATAATGTGCTGATGAGATTTGAGAGTGCAAAAAGAATCATAAAAAACAAAAAATAGATCAATAGATCCTAAAATGTTTCATGCTACTGATTTGAGGGTTTATTGACTTTATCGACATCTTAAAGACTATTTTTAAAATGATTAAGTTCAGTTTTTACACTCTCTATATATTATTTTGCTGAAAATATTTTCTGTCCATAATGAAAAGCTTATATGTGTATGAGTAACTCAGTATACACAGAGGAAGGATTTGCTTAAAGCTGATAGAATATCCTACCCTTAGCAGTAGACCAATACCCCCAACTTTGCAGGGGATCAGGGTGTAGGTATAGGGAGAAGCAAGGAGTATACTGAGGATTATCCCCAGTTCATGGCTAGATCACAGAGATAGTGAAACTGATCTCTGTAATAAGTCTAAATCCTATTCGGGCCCAAGTAGGGGGTACGGTGTGCTGGGTATTTCACTCGGGGTTGATGCCCCAGTAATGCAGGTTTTAATCCCATCTCGGATTTGTCCAACAATTTGTATTTTTTTCACTTGCACATGTTCAAGTTTCTCCTGAATTCCTAAAGTGATATGATTTACATAATGCGAAATTCCTTTAAAGATTCTTTTTCCAAGGGATAAATCATGAAAAAAATCTCTTGAGGGCTCTGTACATTGTGCTGCATTCTTAAACACCTGTGTTTGCTCTGGGCGAAGGGAAGGGGATTCATGATCATTTTGGGAACACTTGACTTTAAGGTAAAGATTACTAGATTATGACTTATTTGCAATTCAAATCTCAGAGAATGTTTTGTATTGCTTCTGTAAGGGCACAAATCATTGGGAAAGCAAGGTTAAGCATAAATTTATTTACCCCTTTGCAATGAGTATTTGATGAAAATGATGAAAAGCAATTGTGTTTCATGTAAGTTGTTTACACAGTAACATGCCAGTCATGCACCTATACTTGGAGATAATTTCATACAGTTTTTGATGAGTTCAATAAATTTTTCTTCATGTACCCAAGAATTTTATTCACTACCGAATCAAAAGTAAGCCATTTCCTTTTTTGAGAAAAGTTTAAATTCTAGGAGTTGCAATTAATTAAGCAAAAAAGCTTGCCAGCTGTATTATGTAAAAAGGAACTATTAGAACTATTTGTCGGAAAATAAAAGTTCTATGAAAATTTCTTTAAGGGAAAAGGAGTTGTTTTAGACCTACATGATTGATACATAGCCCTCTTAATTGTCTCTATTCCAGGCATATATACCAAATCTGCAGCGTCATTACTAGTGTATTGACAATTTGATTGCTTTATTGATTTTTCGCTATGTAGGGGTGTTAATTGTAGTGCAAAATAATATGGCCTAGCTATGTGCTAATTTTCAGCAAATGCAAGTTTGTAGTTTTAATCGATTTCCATCGACAAGATCGTAAACTTTAAATTCATTTAAGTAGTGATTGCATGCTCCATCATTTATTTTTCCTGTTAATCGTTGCATCTTCACGTTGGTAATTATACTGAATGAACAATCAATTTTACATATGTCCAAGAGTTTATTAATAATTTTCATCTCCATTTAGAACATTGCCTGTTCAAACTTTACATTTGATTTTGAATAATTACAACTTTTTTTCCCAACCTATTTTGGCATCATATAACCAAATTGACAAAATCACTACCATATATAGATATGTAGCTCAGGTTCATGCATGCTAGTTGGTAAAAAATTCCAACTTGAAATTTTTGCATGCTATGCCAGTCGTATAGTAAAGTATAAAAGAAAAGAGTCTTGCATTTGAAAGACCCTCTGAACAGAAATGGGAGGACCGAGAGTAAGGCGCCAGGAATGTGTGGCATGCTAAGGTCATGTGATTCGTATTGTCCCCCATTCAACTGACCAGCAGGTGATCAATAAATGCGGTCAATTATTAGCCCTGCCTCTATATCTGGCTTTCATACACATTATGACATGCCTTTTTTGTACTCTTAAAAGGTCCATAAAAGTCATTTTGGGCATGTCAAATTCCTTTTCTGAATAGCCTTTAAGGTTGAGGAAAAAGTTGACTTGGTGGAAAGTGTAAATGGAAACCTGTCTACACTTGTAGCATTAAAATGTGATTTGTCCAGTACATTACATATACTAGGTACCAGCACAAAAAGGAATCTTCTGTAATTTTTGAAGTTCTGTTATATAGAGAAGACTTCTTAATTTATTCATCATTAAGTATGTACATTCCTCAAGAAGTTACAGTAAGCTCAATTCTCTGTTATAGCCATCAACTCTGTATATCCATCATAGTCTTGAAATTTAAAAAAAAAATGAAAACAACAGACCTCGATCTTTTTTTACATTGGAGATAAATATTTCTGATTTTACACCAAGTGTTGAAAGAATTCCATAATTGTACAAAAAACCAACTTCAAAGAAAGGCCCTTTGTATCATTATACTTAAATAATGAGCATTCTTACTATTCTCAAGGACACATGATTGGTTTAAAAAAAAGTTATAATTCGTCTCTTCTTCTGAGACCCCCTTGGAGTTTGTAATTTGCATAATTAAGAAATAAGTCAGGGCATAAGATATATATGTCATGTATATCTTGTATATTATGTGTAATTATTGTTTTTTATGCCTGCCACATATTTTTTTTACCTGATGTCTCTATAAACAGCTTTAAAGTATTTGATAGAGGATCCAAGTTTCCATTGATTTTTTTTTAACAGCTATCTGATCCTTTGGTATGATGTATGAATATGATATCGAAGATGGAATTTCAGTCAGTTGTACCCTCTAAGTTTAGATCATATGTCATGATAATCAACCCTCAGCTGTGAGACTGTTTTTATGATATAGTGTAACAGGTACCAGTACATTATTGCTTCATTTGTGCAGGAATTTTCATCACAGATTGGGTTCCCATATCCCCATCGATCTCCTCAATGGTCATTCCATAGCAATGAAGCTTGCCATGTAACTGTCATTGTTTTCCATTGATCTTGATTTTTGTGTAAAACATGCACTCTTTACTGGTTGGTGCAGGACTTTCATCTAAAGCTTTATTGCAAGAGTACCCCCCCCCCCCCCCCTCCAACTTCCATAGTACCCTTGCCACACGTCACTATATTTTCTATTAAGGTAATCTTGATTGTTGTGTGAAACAAGTAATCATTACTTGGTTGTATCACTGTATCAATAAAGAATTTTAACATTTTGAAGAGGATAAGCTGACAATTCTGCATGTTACAAACCCTCCATAAGTTATTTTGTACTGTTTGTGACCTGCATGCTTTAATTTTTGGTGCAGATCTTCAAAACAAATGTTAAATGATAGAACTTCTTTGTAATCAGAGTGGAGCCACTATTGACCTCTTCAGCACAGTTCTGTGTGTACCCTGTAAAGCATTATCTGAAGTTCTGCATAAGGAGGGGATTAATTCTGCTAAACTTTGGGTTAAAGAAGTTCAGCAAAAAGATGAGTTGTGTATTCACATAGATAAGGCTATAGCCTTTTATCAGGTGCGTCAGATTCGTGTAAATACACCTTTGTATTCTTGCGGTTAGGTTTTAACAATGAATTATTATCTACCCAGATAGCTTAATCTGCAGAAGAGGCTATTGTTATCTATTATAGACTGCAGGGACTTTGAAAACTTCAAGCTACAATTGGGACAATTTTTTTTTGAATAAGCTATTAATAGCCTGGTGCAGACAAATCGTGCTTTGATAATCCCTTGATTGGATGTGGATTTTTTTAATGCACTGTTTGATTAAAACAGTAATACCTGTATGTTTGCTTTGTTTTAAAATTGTACAGATTGAATAATTTGTATTGAATATTACTGATATTGACTATTAATATTGATCCTTGGTAGAAGAATTACATAATTACTTAAGGATCTAATCGTTGTATCAGAATATACAGCTATAATTGCATTGCTGCCTATTGAAAAATGTTGTCCCAGCATATGGATGTTATTAATATTGAAAATTATTTATCCATTCAAAACAGGTCATTGTGGTTATGGAACATCTGTATGCATTATTAAATTGTCATATTTTGATGAAAAATCATTTTTGTTTTCCATAAAATAAGTAAATCTAAGCACGCGAGAACGTCTTCTGTAGACAGATCTCTCAAACAAAGGTAGCTCTTTTCAATTCAATTCTAAGCACGTAATTTTACCGCAGGTGTAAACCTGTGCAGGAAAAAAATTGATGACCTATGGTGTGCAGCAAGAGAA